CTCTCCCCTCACTCTCCCTCACTCTCCATCACTCTCTTCCTCTCACTCTCCTCACACGGATCCTTTGCTGTGATGTAGATTAAGTGAAGAGGTTAGCCTACTCACCTGTTCGGACCCCCCTCTCCCTCTCTCCTCTCCCCAAGCAAAAAAAAACCCGGGTTCGATTCCCGGGGATAATGGGAAGTCAGGTGCCGTTCAGTGCTTCTATGCACTCAGCAGTGATTGGAGTTCCATGTTGTAAAGCGACAAGTAGGTTGTGTTCTAGGGGAGAACACAGAGATGAATGGCCTATTGGGTAAACACACACACACACACACACACACAATACAATAAATACTATATATATATATATATATATATATATATATATATATATATATATATATATATATATATATCTATATATATATATAATTTTGTCCCCATTGACTCGGGGACACTTGGTGCCTGAGGTAAGATGCTGCTTGTGTTTCTGAAGGAACTGGGTTCCAAGCTAATTGGAACAACTAGAGACCCAAGAGCTGCCAGTTTCCTCTTTCAGCGCCTTAGTGTGGCGAACCAGAGAGGAAATGCTCACCACATCCATGATTCCTGCCCGCCATCTGAGGAGCTGGAGGAACTCTATATCCTGTGACAGGTAGCCTTGTACCCTGCATGTAACCAATGTTGTAACTCATTTTGTGTAATGACATTTTAAATAAAATAAAGTGAGATTCATAGAGACATATATAAAAATAATAGGGGAAGTAGAAGAAAATATCAAAGTGTTCAGTGAGGACCCACAAGGTCTTCTCTGAGTACTCTTTATTTTCTTCTCCGAGGTTAGCAGAGGGGCGTCAGGGTGAAAGAAACTCTGCCCATTTATTTCTGCTTCTGCCGGGAATCGAACCCGAGCCTCGTAGGACTACAACCACAGAGCGCTGTTCACTCAGCCACGAGGCCCCCTATAATTCTTCCTATAATCACACACTTCTGTGTGTGTGTGTGTGTACTCACCTAGTACTCACTTAGTTGTGTTTGCGGGGGTTGAGCTCTGGCTCTTTGGTCCCGTCTCTCAACCGTCAATCAACAGGTGTGTATGTGTGTGTGTGTGTATGTGTGTGTGTGTGTGTGTGTGTGTGTGTGTGTGTGTGTGTGTGTGTGTGTGTGTGTGTGTGTGTGTGTGTGTGTGTGTGTGTGAGATTTAGTTGTTCTGACAGATTAAACAAACTGAGTATATGGTCTAAACTCTAAATATATTCTATTTCCTCCTCCCCCCCCCCCCCCGAGTTCTCCAGGGGAGTATGGGTGTGAGGGGGAGAGAGGGGGGGGAGGGGGGATTGTTTGGAGATCGTGCATGTGTGCGTGTGAGTGCGTGCCCAAGTGTGTGTGGGGGGAGAGTCGGTGTTGAGTGTGTGAGACCTGCAGGGCCGCCAAGTGTGTGTATTCACCTAGTTGTATTCACCTAGTTGTGTTTGCGGGGGTTGAGCTTTGCTCTTTCGGCCCGCCTCTCAACTGTCAATCAACTGTTTACTAACTACTACTTTTTTTTTTCACACCACATACACACACACACACACCAGGAAGCAGCCCGTGACAGCTGACTAACTCCCAGGTACCTATTTACTGCTAGGTAACAGGGGCATTCAGGGTGAAAGAAACTTTGCCCATTTGTTTCTGCCTCGTGCGGGAATCGAACCCGCGCCACAGAATTACGAGTCCTGCGCGCTATCCACCAGGCTACGAGGCCCCCCAATGCCTTGTAATGTGTGTGTGTGTGTGTGTGTGTGTGTGTGTGTGTGTGTGTGTGTGTGTGTGTGTGTGTGTGTGTGTGTGTGTGTGTGTGTGTTTTCTATATGTGGAGGTTTTTTGGTTAGTCGTTCCTATTTTAAATTCATAAAACCTCTTGGTGTCCTGGGATTTGTATAGACAACATCCTCTCTCTCTCTCTCTCCTCTCTCTCTCTCTCTCTCTCTCTCTCTCTCTCTCTCTCTCTCTCTGCTCTGTTGAGACCTACCTCGGGACCTGCCCCACCTGGAGGGGAGGGGGGTAAGGGAGGACACAGTCGTGGCTACCCACCCTCTCTCAGCCTACCTTACCTAGTCTCTGGGTAAATCAGATGTTTTTCACTATCTACCCAGATGTTGAAAACGTTATATATATATATAATATATATATATTATATATATATATATATATATATATATATATATATATATATATATATATATTATATATTTTATATATATATATATATTTATATTATTATATATATATATATATTAATATTTGTGATCATCAAACTATGCAATACCAATGATGATACTTTTCAAGACGCTTGTGCTCTCTAGAGTGGAGTACTGCTGCACAATGACAGCACCTTTCAAAGCTGGAGAAATTGCTGACCTGGAGAGCGTGCAGAGAGCCTTTACTGCTAGAATCCACTCAGTAAAACATCTAAACTACTGGGCCCGACTAAAAGGCTTAAATCTGTATTCCCTTGAGCGCAGGCGGATGAAATACATAATAATTTACACGTGGAAAACAGTAGAGGGACCTGCACATAGAATTACCACCACATGAGACCAGGAGGCATGGCAGGATGTGCAGAATACCCCCGTTGAAGAACAGACCTAACCTAACCTAACCTAACCTAACCTAGCGTTGAAGAGCAGACCTAACCTAACCTAACCTAACCTAACCTAGCGTTGAAGAGCAGACCTAACCTAACCTAACCTAACCTAACCTAACCTAACCAGTTAACCATCAGAGAATGACACTTAAAGGGGTTACCCATGCAGCTAGTACGTCTTACCTTGATGGGTTCGAGCCCCAGGGAGGTGGTGAGAGAGCGACGATGCTTGACGCTACGTGCTGGTCGCACTTTACCATCACGCCCGACCCCGCACATCATCTTGGAAGCCCGCCCACACGCCCACGCTCAGAGGCCGGGCGGTGAGCAGCACGAGGCTAGCGGAGGAGAGAGGATAGGACAAAGGTCTTGGTGACGGGAGATTGGAAATGGTAATGGAGGAAAGCTGAAACAAAGGCTAATTTTGCGGTGATGGGGAAGGGTAGGAATGGGGCTGGGAGGAGAGGCGATGCCTAGGTGAGGGAATGAGAGAGGGAGGGAGTGTCTCTCTCACTGGCAGAGAGATCATGCAAAATTTAACTCGTTGAAAAGATAAACAAACTGGCCTTGTCGAGGGAGAAAGAGTGGTGAGAGAAGGAGAGGGAGGTAGTGAGATAGTGAGAGAAGGAGAGAGAGGTAGTGAGAGAAAGGAATGGGTAAGGGGAAGGGGTTCGATGCTGCCGTTTGGTGTATGGGAAACCTGTAAGAAAGAAATTGAAACATATTTGAATTAAACAATTGACAGTAATTCACTACTAATTTAAATGGGAAACAAATAATTTTGACACATTGGGAGTAATTTTAACACACGACTTTGAATCATTTTGACAGGTGACAATAATGTTTTCAATGGATTAGAATCACTTGTAGGCGGGTTTAAAATATATAACAAAAATCAGTCAAAAAAAATCGTGATGAAAAAATATAAAAATTCACGTCCAACGAGCCTGATAGGACTTGATAGTCATTTGTTTTGGAAATGCTTGAGAAGCAAATATACACAGTGTCAGACGCACAAGGCCACATTCGCGTTGTACGCAAAAAAATTTTCAGGGCCGCACAAATACACAAGATTGGACGTGAAAGATCAGGGAATCAGATTCACGAAGCAGTTACGCAAGCCCTTACGAACGTGTACATCTTTCCTCAATCTTTGACGGCTTTGGTTACATTTATTAAACAGTTTACAAGCATGAAAACTTGCCAATCAACTGTTGTTATTGTTATAAACAGCCTCCTGGTGCTTCGGAGCTCATTAACTGTTTAATAATTGTAAACAAAGCCGCCAAAGATTGAGAAAAGGTGTACAGGATCGTAAGTGTTTGCCGTAACTGCTTCGTGAATCAGGCCCCTGGAGTACAAAGACTCGCAGCGCCTCATACCATCTTCATAACTATTTCACGAGTGTGAAGACAGCAGAATAAGATGAAGGGGACAAAATTCTTCAGTCAGAAAAGGAGAAAGACCTGGAAGTGGACATGACCTCAAACCTGACCCCAGAAGCCCACATTAGTAGAAAAACAACATCTACGTAAGTCTATACTGGCCAATATCCGTTATCTTGAGGTTATCTTGAGATAATTTCGGGGCTTTAGTGTCCCCGCGGCCCGGTCTTCGACCAGGCCTCCACCCCTCAGGAAGCAGCCCGTGACAGCTGACTAACACCCAGGTACCTATTTTACTGCTAGGTAACAGGGGCATAGGGTGAAAGAAACTTTGCACATTGTTTCTCGCCGGCGCCTGGGATCGAACCCAGGACCACAGGAGTCCAGTGTGCTGTCCGCTCGGCCGGCCGGCTCCGTTCACAAACTTGGACAAATGGGCTCTCTGGCCCCTATATAGAACGAAGGTGAGACCCCACACTTGAATATGCATCCCCAGCATGGTACCTTACCTTAAAAAGAACAAGAAACGATAAAAGGTCCAAAGACATACAACGAGACTCGTCCCGGAGCTGAAGGAATTGAGCTATGAGGAAAGACTGAAAGAACTGGCCTCTCCTACACTTGAGGACAGACATGGGGTCATGATAACAGTATATAATTTTTAATGGAAATTGACAGTGTAGATAAATAAGCTTTATTCAAACAGAATAACAGAACAAGGGTAAATGGAATACTACGGGCTCACCATAGCCCGTGCTACTTGGAACTTTTTGTTATAAGTAGCGAATCTTTAACAAAAACAACGTAAATGGAAACTAGAGACGAGAATGAGTTATAGAGACATTAGAAAGAACTTTTTCAGTGCTAGAGCTGTTAATAGGTGGAATAGGTTAGACGTATTAGTCGTTGTAGATAACCCGATTAAAATTGTTTATGTAAATTTGATAAAAACTCGAGAAATAGGTCACTGTGTTAAGCTTTGGGAAGGCGGGGCAATAGGAGCCTACCTCGACCCTGCACACACACCTAGGTGAGCACACACACGCACACACACACACACACACACACACACACACACACACACACACACACACACACACACACACCACACACACACACACACACACACACACACACACACCACACACACACACACACACACACACCACACACACACCACACACACACACACACACACACACACACACACACACCACACACACACACACACACACACACACACACACACACACACACACACACACACACACACACTACACCCACACACACACACACACACACACACACACACACACACACACACACACACACACACACACACACACACACACACAGCAGCGAGGGAGGGCTGTGAAAAGATCTAATCATCATAAAAATATAGGCCCGCCTATGTGAAAAGGTCACATTTACATAATGAATAATTATATGATGCATCCATGCACTCCCCCCCCTCTCTCTCCAGTGCCCCTCTCCCCCCTCCCCTCCCCCCCCACCCCACCCCACCCCTTCACCCCAAAACCTCCCCCCCCCGGGCATCTCCCCCCCCCCGAGAAGAAATACACGCCAATCCCCACACTGTCACAGACCTCATTCATTCACTCTAAATGAAGTCATGACCACGTAATACGTAGTTCCGCGCCCCCTCCGCCTCGGGGGGTGAAGGAATGCGAATGATAGGAGAATAAGAATGAAGGAAGGGAGGAAGGAAGTATATATGTGGATTTAGGAAGAATGTAAAGTACCTATCGATAGAAACCGCTAAGCCAATATGACTATACACCATTTGGTAAGGGGGTCAGGATAAGGACTTGGAATGAGAATGGTGCCCCAACCACTTGAACGATCGGGGGATTGAACGCCGACCTGCATGAAGCGAGACCGTCGCTCTACCGTCCAGCCCAAGAGGTAGGTAGGAAGAGTGGATAGAAATATTTGGTTCAATATTGAACAGTTATTTTGCGTGCAGTGATCTAGTTGTTTGATACGACAATCAATGCCGCTTGTTCCACACCATCCGTGTAGTTAGTGACCAACGCATGTCAATACATTATTAGATATCTATAAATGGAACTGTTGGTTTGCCTGCACGAGGTTGGAGGTCTGACTATTGGTAGCCTTACCCCACTTTTTGCACCATAATTCCTGTGGGGTATGTGCCCACCATGGTCGGGTCGGCGACGACAGAATTCACGAGGGAACATATCGTGCATTGATAGGCACACACACGTTATATCATTATAATATATACATTATATATATATATAACCAAGAACCAAGAGGCTCGAACCAAGACCTGAAGTCACGAACGCGCTGCTCTACCAACTAGGCCAGGATACTCAAAATAAAGTGACGCAAAGGATGAAGCATGCGGCAGACAGCATGAAAGAGGCAGTAAGCATGAAGCAGACACCGTGAAGCAGACACCGTGAAGCAGACACCGTGAAGCAGACACCGTGAAGCAGACACCGTGAAGCAGACACCGTGAAGCAGACACCGTGAAGCAGACACCGTGAAGCAGACACCGTGAAGCAGACACCGTGAAGCAGACACCGTGAAGCAGACACCGTGAAGCAGACACCGTGAAGCAGACACCGTGAAGCAGACATCGTGAAGCAGACACCGTGAAGCAGACACCGTGAAGCAGACACCGTGAAGCAGACACCGTGAAGCAGACACCGTGAAGCGGAAAGCAGCAGACAAAGGAAACCTGAGACAAGAACCCCACCTGCTGAACAGCCAGGCAAAGCAGCAGCAGCAGCAGCAGACCTCGTTTTAGGGGGGACGTGATGAAGCAGACGTCTGCTGGCCCGCTGACAGCCGTCACTCACTGTGTGAGGCGAGGAAGCCTCCCTCATATACTGCCTCATACACACTCATCAATAATTTGATTTGTGGCGGCCCTTTGATGCTGTTAGACCGAAGGGGCGTTGCTCTATCATTCTCATATATTAAGAAAATTATCAGCTATCAACTATCATTATCAGGGAGCCGAGCGGACAGCCCGCTGGACTTGTGATCCTGTGGTCCCGGGTTCGATCCCAGGCGCCGGCGAGAAACAATGGGCAGAGTTTCTTTCACCCTATGCCCCTGTTACCTAGCAGTAAAATAGGTACCTGGGTGTTAGCCAGCTGTCACGGGCTGCTTCCTGGGGTGGAGGCCTGGTCGAGTACCGGGCCGCGGGGACACTAAAAAAAAAAAAGCCCGAAATCATCTCAAGATAACCCTCACCCCCTTCTCCCACTCCTTCCTTTACTCTCGTCGTTTAAGATGGGTCATAACTGGCCTCTCTCTACCGCCCGCCGGAACACTCAAAGACCTCTGGATTCTCTTGATGGCTCGCGTGAAAAACATACTACCTTAATTTCGAGACCAAACACGCCAAACACTTTACAAACGGCGTGTGTTTGTGTGTGTGTGTGTGTGCGTGTGCGTGCGTGCGTGCGGTCCAGGGTAACGTAGTACGGTTGTAATTGCGATATTGCTGATTTTTTTCAATCACATATTTTCACATCAAACGAATTCATTAATATTGTGTTCTGTAAAAGGAAGATTTATTCACGTTGATCAGAACACCTCTAAATATCTAGATTTTTGTCCCTGTGAAAGTGTAACAAAAAAATCCCAGCATATCCAGATAAAACTCTCCTTAAAACTCTAATGCCCGAGCGACATATCGCCCGAAAGGGTCGACATGTAAAACTCAGGACCAACATAACATTAAAAACTCTGCGGAATTCGCCCGCCACATTTAACTACTGAACCGGAGTGTAATATTCCCATAGCCGCTGCCGTGAAACTTAACGTCAAAACGCGTTATTTATCCTGCAGGAGATAACGAAAGTGCTGTTGCATATCTCTGGCAAATTGCAACGATGATATAACGGGAAGAAAATGGGGATTAAAAATCGATTTTTGTTTTAAGAAGTGACTATTTTTATAGCGATTGGAAGCAAAGCGGGTTTAGTAGATCGAACGTATGTGTGAGACAATGCCAAGTGATAGCGATGAAATATTAGTAAACGCCAAGGAAATTTAGATCTACTGGGAAAATATATATATATATGGTGCGAATGGCCCCCTCCTCCGTCTTACCTTAGTTTGCCACCGAAGACGCCACCTGTAATGAGAGAAAACGGACATTATCGTAGTTAGAGAAAACGTTCGATATTAATACGTAGACAAAGGCAAATAAAAACACACACACACACACACACACGAGAATATATATATATAAATATATCCACCCAAAAATCTATACCTCGCTTCTCAGTGTATACGTAATGAGTTTATTATAGCTCCGGCCTATCCCAGGACTATCCTTCCAGAAGCTCAAAGGCCTTAATTAAGTTCATCAAAACTAAATTAGACTTCCTGGAGACCCATACACCCCAAGCTATAAGAATTCACCCCATTTCTGAATAGGTGATGCCTATTCTGCTGATTTGTTAAGGTATTCCTATTACACTTTGACGTTGTAGTTATACCAGTCTCAGCCAGTAGCTTTAAAACCAGTTGCAGAGTCTACATATCACATATCCTCTTCACATGAGGTGAAAATACCCAAGCAACATACATCACAGCCTAAACGGTACGTCTATAATTCCTATTCTAGCATTTACGGCTTCTGTTCTAGAAGCCATGAGTGGTAGAATATCCATATTCTAGCACTGATGGCTGTCTACCCTAGAATCCATCAGAGGTAGAATATCCATATTCTAGCACTGATGGCTGTCTACCCTAGAATCCATCAGAGGTAGAATATCCATATTCTAGCACTGACGGCGGTCTACCCTAGAATCCATCAGTGGTAGAATATCCATATTCTAGCACTGATGGCTGTCTACCCTAGAATCCATCGGTGGTAGAATATCCATATTCTACCACTGATGGCTGTCTACCCTAGAATCCATCGGTGGTAGAATATCCATATTCTACCACTGATGGCTGTCTACCCTTGAATCCATCGGTGGTAGAATATCCATATTCTAGCACTGATGGCTGTCTACCCTAGAATCCATCAGTGGTAGAATATCCATATTCTACCACTGATGGCTGTCTACCCTAGAATCCATCGGTGGTAGAATATCCATATTCTACCACTGATGGCTGTCTACCCTAGAATCCATCAGTGGTAGAATATCCATATTCTACCACTGATGGCTGTCTACCCTAGAATCCATCAGTGGTAGAATATCCATATTCTACCACTGATGGCTGTCTACCCTAGAATCCATCAGTGGTAGAATATCCATATTCTACCATTTATTGCTTCTACTCTACACTCCTTTCTTGTCGATCCATTTACGGGGGTCGGGCGGGGGAGTTACAACAAATATATATACGCTATACAACTCTTCATACAGACCAGTATAGCTGTATACATACAAATGTATTTAAGTATGTTCATTAATACATCAGGAGTCATTAATGAATTTGTTTGAATAAGTCCTTTTGATGTTCTTGATAAGCGAATTCAAAAGTTTTTTTGAGTGGTTAATTTTTTATGTTTTTATAATAACACACTATACTTATAGTAACACTTATAACATAGACACACTTATAATAACAACTTGAGTGTCTCAAGTTATGGCAGTTCTTGTCTTATTTCAACCTCCAAATGATTGGAACTTCTCAAGTCCCATTTCGTAATATCTCTTTAACACAAAGATGTAAAGGATTGTAAGACATCAAAGCTGATTAGCCGTCAATACGAAACCAGTCAAGTTGTGATTGATTGATTTCTTAGACTTATTTTTCTTCTTAATGCAATTACACGAATTAACTTTCAGTGTTGCACAGGAGAGGAGTAGGTAGAGAACCCATCCCTCGCCTGAAGTTGTAACTCTCGCTACACCAGTTTACATGTTAAGCAGTTACAGAACCTTCACAAAAAGAACACAACGGGCTCACCATAGCCCGTGCTACCTGGAACTTTTTGATCCAGGAAGCAAATCTTAAACAACAACAAACTTTAGAATATTTTCAATCTAAACCATACAGCTACAATACGTCCTACAAGCTAAAGTCGGTCAATCCCAATCAACCCAACACTCCAGCCCCATACAACACGCCATTAAATGAAGCATCAACCTCCATTACATTTTTGCCATTGTACATTTTTCATCAAATCTTTCCCCGAAAACAAGGAAAAATGTAATCCAGTGGTTGAATAAATCCATAAAAATGCAATGAATACTGCTGACTCTGGCAAGACTGCTGACCCAGTTTAGTGTTGAGCGGAAGGAAGGAATGGTACATTGAAAGTGAAATGGGTGGAAGGGGATACTGATGGAAAGGGGCGAAGGAGAGAATAATAAGAAAGGGAAAGGGGGTCAGAGAGCATCAAACTATACTATTAAGAGAGAGAGAGAGAGAGAGAGAGAGAGAGAGAGTGAGAGAGAGAGAGAGAGAGAGAGAGAGAGAGAGAGAGAGAGAGAGAGAGAGAGAGAGAGAGAGAGAGAGAGAGAGAGAGAGAGAGAATGGAAGAGAGATTCCATCACGCCTTCTGCCATATCTGATTCTCTATTTCAAGCGGTCGTATTTTCTCATGGGGCCGGAAAACAGATTTCCGCAGAATCTAGCAACTTTAAATGACAACACACACAAAAAAATTCATAGATATCTCGCGAGATAAAGTCAGCATCACTAGGATTCTGCGAGATCGTCTCGTCTCTCGCGAGATGAGAGATCAACAGACCGTATCAAGGCATAAACAAAGAGGATCAATTCACTTGCAATGACTTCTCAACCTTCAGGAAGACCACGCGAGGCACAGAGAGATAGCGAGACAGAGAGATAACGAGGCAGATAGCGAGACACGCAGCAACGAGGTATCGTCTCGCAGTGTGTTAATGAAAGCTGAAGGAGCTGGAGGAGGCAGCAGTCAGTGTCACATTACTCCACTGCTTCGCTCTGTGATTGGGGAGAGAGGGAGAGAAGGAGGGAGAGAGAAGGAGAGAGAAAAGGAGGGAAGATGAGTCGGAGGAAAGGAGAGAGAGGGAGAGACCGAGCGAGGGACTAAAGGAGGGAGGGAGGGAAGAACCGTGAACTGTGGTAGAGAGAGAGAGAGAGAGAGAGAGAGAGAGAGAGAGAGAGAGAGAGAGAGAGAGAGAGAGAGAGAGAGAGAGAGAGAGAGAGAGAGAGAGAGAGAGAGAGAGAGAGAGAGAGAGAGAGAGAGAGAGAGAGAGAGAGAGAGAGAGAGAGAGAGAGAGAGAGAGAGAGAGAGAGAGCATGACCGTGGACGGAGTGTGTGAAAACAAGGTAAAAGTGAACGCTGAAGAATAAGCTACGATTAAAAATAGGAAAATAAAGCGTAGAGATAATAGAAAAGAAAAGGAATAGTGAGACAGGAAGGATGCTATGCTACGTCCCCCTTTCCCATATCCGGCTACGCAGCATTCCCTTCCCCATATCCGGCTACGCTTCGTCCAGCGATCGGCTCCTCCTCACCAATCAAGAATTAACATCAAAGATCGAACAGTTCTTGTAAACCTTCTGTGTCAATATTTAAACCAATAGAAAGACTCCAAAAGTATACTATCACCAGCTAACAAATCATGAGACTTCTGGATATGTTTGTATATAAGTTTGAGTGCATACAATGAATAAGTGACTACATTCCACGCCGGCTTGGATCATATTGCGAGATGCACTTAATCACTGGAGAGTTACAGAGTGTAGAAGTCGACGTTTAGGAAGGTGAGAAGCGGGGTACCGCAAGGGCTCAGAACTTGCACACATTTTTGTTTTGCATATATGTTAAGGAGTTCGATTTGCGGACGTCGATGTAGCAGACGACTCCTAAATGCATGTAGCACGCAAGTTTCAACGGTCAGTCTACTCCAGGTAACAATTAGCCGTTCGGGGAACGATTGGGCACCGTTCAGGAACGACTAGGCACCATTCAGGAACGACTGGACGCCGTTCAGGAACGACTGGACGCCGTTCAGGAACGACTGGACGCCGTTCAGGAACGACTGGACGCCGTTCAGGAACGACTGGGCACCGTCCAGGAACGACTAGGCACCATTCAGGAACGACTGGACGCCGTTCAGGAACGACTGGACGCCGTTCAGGAACGACTGGACGCCGTTCAGGAACGACTGGACGCCGTTCAGGAACGACTGGACGCCATTCAGGAACGACTGGCCACCATTCAGGAACGACTAGGCACCATTCAGGAACGACTGGGCACCAATCTAGGACACCGCCCTCACCACCCTTCCTTATACCGTTTTCTTCTGTAAAATGATTTAAATTCCCTCCCTCCCTACTTCCCTCCCTTCCTTCCCTTCCCTCCCTCCCTCCCTCCTTCCATCACACACCCTTCCACAGCTTCCCTTCCGCCGTCACTTGATGATAGACTCATGCCAAAAATAACGAGTGTTATATAGTGTAGTTTTATAGGTGATAATACCTCAAGCCGCCTACATAATGCTCCATATTCCCCCATAATGCTCTATATTCCCCCATAATGCTCTATGTGGAGGGATATAAGAATATGAGGAATATACTAAGGGAAATATAGCGTATATGCGATATAGAGCACTTTGGGTATATGAAGCCTTATGGGAAATAGAAAGCATTATAAGGAAAATAGAGTATTATAGGAATAGCGAGAAATATAAGAAATATAGAGTATAATAAGGTATATAGGGAAGAATGGAGGACTAGAGACCCTTAAGTGAGAATATAAACAGTGTGTTATCTACTTATCTATTTCAAAATGTTCACATTTCAATTGTGTAAATATTTTAAAAAGTGAAATTTCACCTCTGTCTAAATATCTATTTCAAAACGATGCAATTTCACATTATTTCAAAAAGATAAAACTTCCCTTCTAAATACTTATTTTAAAAATTTAACAATTTAAACGATCAAAAATACGAATTTCAAAGTTTTTAACAAAAATTTCCCCTTCTAAATATCTATTTCAAAACGGTAAGAGGAAAGAACAGACGTCCTAAACATCATTAAACCACATTCCTCTCCCAGACATCCCCATGGGACATCAATCACAGTGGGTGACATCACTGTTCCTCCCAGCAGCTCCTCTCCCATTATATATCTCTCTCTCTCCCATATCCCATCCCTTAACTCCAGTGGTGTAAGTCTTTT